GAAGAGGGAAGGAGGAGGAGGAGGAGGGAAGGAGGAGGAGGAGGAGAGGAGGAGGGAAGGAGGAGGAGGGGAGGAGGAGGTTGGGGTTGGCTATGTCAAAAGTTGTACACCAATTAAGAGGAGTGAAGTCTCTGAGAGCGTTAGTAACATGGAGATCACTGGGGACAATTTCAGCAGGCAGTGAGCGAAGAGGCCACACTGAAGGTAAGTGAGAACTGGGGAGAGAGATGATGAACACAAAATTAGTTTTGTAGTGATTTCTTTTAAGGGGCTTGGGGGGAAGACTTGAGCAAGTTTCAGCTGCAAATGGGGAGAACCAATAGGATATTTTGAAAGTTTTCAGGACACAGCAAACGAGCACTGCTGCCTCTTTTTATAAACACAGTTGTGTTGAAACAGAGCTCTTAGGCTAACAGCAGCATGAGATTCCTGTGCTCCTTTATGCATAGGTTTTCCTAAACTTTGCATTCAGCTGAACATGTTCCAGTCATTTTATCCCCAAACCAAACATACACACACATGCACGCATGTATACATATGAAAATTCATATATAAATAGATAAACCAAACAAATGAAATCACTTCCTAGGGTAAAAGTGCTACAGAAATTTTCGGGCCATATTATCAATTCATTGACAAAAATGACAAGGAGTGCTTTGCTGATGTGGTGTGCTTGTTCTTGACAGCTCAAACCAGCATGTCTTATTCACCACTGCGTATCCAGGACCTGGAGCCATGCCTGACACACAGTAAATGTCTAACACACGCTCACTGAAGTGTGGAAAGAAAGGATCCAGGAGCTACAGTAGAGAATTTTGTGGGACAAGAGGTGGGGGATCCTCAGTGCTGGCCAGGTAGCATAGAAATCCCGAGGTAAATGGCTGGTGTGGAATTTTCTGCATTGAAGTTTGTAGCATCTGGGGTAAAACACCTTCCTCTAAATTTGGGCAGGAAGGGCACACGGGATGGGGAAACGGGGCTAAAACTCACCTCAAGGGTATGCTGGGAGTGAACAAGACCTCACTGAGGCAGTTTGCAGCGTGGCAGCAGGAAAGGGCCACCCCAACTCTCCCTATTGCAGTAAAGCAGAAAGCAAAGGTGAGCTGCCTTCAGGTGCAGTTCAAGCCAGCTTATGCCTCAGGAGCAGGATTGCGGGTCTGCTGAAAAGTAGCTTAGAACAACAAATCAGAAAATGATAGGTCCGCAAATATAACTGAAGAAAAAATGGCCATGTGTCATCAATTGAGAGATCTTCTGAGACAGGAGCATGGGCTTTGTTTGGACGCAGGGCAATGCTCTTGAAGGAAGCACAGCTGTAACATAGTAACTAAGATTTAGAGCGTTGATTTCTTCAAAAGTGATTTCTTCAAAAGAAAGTGAGAACTCATAATGAGAAGTGATCAGAGCATAGATTTTTCCCTGCTAGCTCTCTTCTGTGTGCAGGGAGCGCACCAGAGGAATAGCCAGTGAATCTAGCAGCTCCAGGAAAGGAGGCAAGTTAAGGGGGTTTGTTCACGGGGGTAGCATTTGAGCATGTTACAGGCCCTGGCTAGTGCTGCAGGAGTCACTGGCAAGCTGCCCACCTGGCTGCATCTCCTGACTACTGACTTGAGCTAGCTGTCCCAAGTCATCCCACTGCAGGACAGAGTTCTGTGTCTTAGGAACCTCTCAGCAAGCACTTGCTGTAGCCTCCTCTGGAATGCAGTATGTGGAGTAATAGAAGAGTCTAGCAATGCAACTTTTGGAGAATTATATGCATACTATGAGAAACTGGCCTTACATATCCACAGCAGCTTTAGCTTCGAGAAAATTCTCAAACTGCTTGATCTAGACAGAGACAGTAAAAGCTCAGGAAGCATATTCTGATGCTGTGTCACCTGGTTACTAACAAAGAACACCCAAAGCAGACTGGGATACATGAACAATACAAAAGTCAGGAATCAAGGAGTGGTTAATATGTTATTGTGAACTGAGACTGGGGAGCCCCCTGCTCTGCCACAAATGTCTAGCAGCTTTCTAGTCCATTTTATGCTAAAAGTAGTGCTGTGGTTTGTGTCCTCCAAAGCTTCATGATGTCATGGAGGGGGACTTTTTGGAGGTAGCTGAATCTAGAGTTTGTGACTATTAACCTGCCCTAGGGCAGATAGCCTGCATATAATATAAGGGACAGAGTCTTCTCCCACTCTTTGCTGTCTTCTGCCACCATGAATTGTTGTCCCTCTGCCATGTGCCACCTTGGCTTGGATCCAGCTGATTATGGACTGAACCTACCACAAACTGTGAGCTAAATAAGCCTTTGCCCCTTTCACTTTTGGTGTCAGGTATTTTGTCTCAGAAATGACAAAAAAGTAGCTAAGACAACTAGGTTCATAAAAATAATTCTATTCTCTACTGCCAGTATTTTGGAAAATGGTTTCTAATAGTTTGGGAATTAGGATATAAGAATAACTATCAAACCAAGAATATAATTTATCAGAAAT